GGATAAAAACTATTTCTAGATCCACCACTATACAAAACTCTATCACTAGTGTTTTTATACTTCTTCTTTTTTGGTTTCTTGTATTTTCTTTTGTTAATTTTATTTGGCAACAACTACAAACTCAACAAAAGAATTGTTTGGCTATATGCTCACATTTTAAATTCGTATGAGAATAATTATCTTATACTTTCTTCGAAAACATTGGTTACCCAGTTGAATGAAGACCGTTAAAAAATAGTAGAGATTAGTGAGATTCTTAAGAACGAGTGCCATCAACATATACAGAAGAACTTCTATAAATTAAAAATGATAAAATAATATACACTAAAAAATTCTATAAATTAATATAATTTTATAGTTTTAAATTGAATTTTTGGTTATTTCTTATATCGATGTAGTCTTAACATTATCAATTTATAGAGGTTTCACTGTATATATATTGTGTAAATGCAACTGCTTATTGTGTACACAAACTAATTTATTATTAGGATAATGGTTTACTACGATTTACGTTTTCATAAAATTTGAAAGTATTTGAAAACTATAGACGAATTCAAAAGAAACTGTAATGATTGAAATCTTCAAGATAATATTTGGAACCATGTATTTAATTTGTCAATTGTCCTTTGTAAATGTCATAAAATGATTATCGTCAAATTAATTATCAGTTGAGATATTCAAACATTTGGCTTTTCAGCCTGAGGCGAAGATTATTGTTAACTTGCAACATAAGATATACTCTGTTCTATACATGTCAATATAATTTGCTCGGTTATTAGCTTTTCATTGATCTCTTATTCCTTCTTTTTCTTCTTTGTTGTAAGATATTCGTCTCAACCATATTCAATCACTAAAATCTCACAATCATCTTTCCCAATATATATTCTTCGTCATTCTTGATCAGATGGGAGCTAGACTGGGCCATGACTGGTCAGAGTTGACTCCGGAATGTCTCCTAGACATCTTCTCACGTCTGAGCACGGGGCAACGGTGGAACGGACCAATGCTTGTCTGCAAGACGTGGATGAAATTATGCCACGACCCGTGCCTCAACACTGTCTTGGATCTCGAAGCTGAGTTTCTGTCTTCC